TTTCTTATGAAAATGTGCAACCAACTCTTATTATAGGTATTGATAATTGGTTTTTATCCCTTCCTTCACAAGTTCGAGAGAATGGTCCCTCTGAACCCGTGGCATACTTAACTAAATTGGGTTGGGTCATTTTTGGTTTTTCACATTCGTCAAATAATGTACCAGGGACGGATTCAGAAGTTAATGTAAATTATGTAACAACTTCTGACACTTTAGAAATAGACAAATTAAATAAAAATAATTTTAAATTAGACCCGACAGGAATAGGTACTAAAATGTCTACCTCTTCCGCAGACACGCGAGCGGTTTCTATTCTATTAAATTCGGCACAACTGATGGGCAGCCGTAACCAAACTACGAGGTCGGCAGCTTCAAGAAACCTCACACCTTCTTCAACAACTGAAGAGATGCTAGATCCAAGTATCTTCATGCACCGAAGAGCTAGCAGCAAAAAGCTACTGTGGCCTGCCAACACCTCGAGGTATTAAAGTAGATGTTGCAATATTGAGTCGTTGCGAGAAGAGGGACACTACTACAAAATTATCTGGGATAACTGCACAGCCTTCTTGAGTACTGTGAGAGTTCTTGAGACATTGAGTAAGCTATACGGTGCGAGTATTTTAGATGCAGCAAGCAACCACAACACTCGTTTATGCATTATTCCTTCTGTAACACCGTTTATGAGCGGCACTTGAAAACGCCTTGTCAGAAATGTTAAGTGCACCATGAAGTCATCATTGCATTTACGCTACGAGTTTTTGAAGGGATGCTGACAAGTATTATTATTGTAGATGCAGAAGTCTTAGCCAATTCACGTCCCTTGACCCATGTCTCTGATGTTCCCTTGTGCACGCTGTTTTAAGAACATTAAAATTAATACCAAAGTCAAGGACTGATAGAAATGCCCAGTCTCCTACGCGTCGTCGACGTCGGTCGGTCCTAATTTTAGAGAGCAACCTTCCTCGAGGTAGCTGTCTTAAAGGCAGAGTTTCGGCGGTCCACACTGGCAACGATGGCGGTCCACCCTGGCAAGTCTCATCGATGTCAAACCACTGACGGAACACTGCGTTGAGCTCCCCAAGAAGCTGGTGCGGTTGCCCATCAGCTAAATTGGGGAGGATGTTGCCGATGGCAACCTTTTTGATAGTTTTTATGTTTTTTATATATATTTGAATTTTATATTTTGACGTTCTGTTTTTATATACTATTTGTTTTCTTATGCCATATTGTCTTTATATTTTTGCTAGCGAGCTGATTACACCTATTTTACCTCACCTAAGAACGTGTCTCATTTTTAACCAGCCTTAATACAGTCCATCCTTCCTTCCGTAACAAATACTAAATAATAATAATTTACATATACTACTTACATATATATATATATATATAATACAATTTATATACATACATACACACAAATATTATATACAAATACAAAACACACAGGAGTGTTTATTTTGTATTTGTATACAAGTAAATTATTGTATAAGAGTAATTATGTAACACGCAATTTCGAATAAGCTAACTGGATGAAGACTGACAGATCAAGAAAAGTTTAGTTGGAGAGATAGTAACATTTAACAGAGTTCTTGAAAACGGACAGTGATGGTGCGCTACGAATAGAGAATGAAGTGAGTTCCACAAACGAATAGCTAGTACAGAAAAGGATTTAGTATAGAATGAGGATGTATGGATAGGGGTTTTTAAACTGAGGTTTGTAGCACTGCGTAGCCCATGACTTTGTGCCTCACCGAGAAATAAGAATCTTTCTTTAAGGTAGTGAGGAGTAGTGGGTTTAAAAAGAATGGAGTAGAGAAGAGAAAGAATATGCCAATCACGGCGAAGGCGAATAGGAAGCCACTTGAGCTGTGAACGATAATGAGAAATGTGGTCATATTTACGAAGTCCAAATATGAACCTGATACATATATTTTGGAGACGCTCAAGTTTGTTTAATTGGTCTTCGGTGAGGTCTAGATAGCATATGTCAGCGTAATCAAGGACAGGAAGGAGTAGGGTATGCGCAAGCGAAATTTTGGTATCAATCGGCAAAAAGAAGCCTAGACGCCTCAGTGAAGCTGCAGCAGCAAAAAATTTACGGCTAACCTCAGCGATCTGCACTGACCAAGAGAGGGTCCTGTCGAAGTGGATGCCCAGATTTTTGACGCTGTCGCTATAGTCAATGCATACTCCGTCCAATACTATTCGAGGAAGAGAACCCCAGTTTATTCTTGTAATGTACCGAGAGCTGCCTATGATGATAGACTGAGTTTTAGAGGCATTCAGGACAAGACCAAACGATTTACACCAGTTTGATATGTGAACTAGATCAGCATTAATTGTATGAATAGCAGTATCAATGTCATCCAGCGGAGCCTGCGTATAGATCTGAAGATCATCTGCATAAAGGTGGTAGGAGGAATGAAGTTTACCAGTAATAGAATTAATAAATAAAGCGAAGAGAAGTGGAGATAAGACGCCACCCTGAGGAACGCCGGCAGTCGTTTGACACCACGACGAAAGTGTATTGTCAATACGGACACATTGCCGGCGCCCATACAGGTAACTCTGAAACCAGTCGGTTACCATTGGAGATATGTTGATTGAGCGCATGCAAGCCAATAGGATGTCGATATCGATTGTGTTAAAAGCATTACTGAAGTCCAGCAGTGTAAGGACTGTCAGTTGCGAATTATCCATACCGTGCCGAACGTCATCTGTGATTTTTACAAGAGCAGTGGTAGTACTATGGCCAGGTCGGAAGCCTGATTGGAGAGGGTTGAGAAGGTCATTACTTATAAGGAATTTGTTGAGTTGACCATGGACAAGACGTTCAAGTGCTTTGGAAAGGAAGGGAAGGATTGAGATAGGACGATAATCGGAAAAAGAAGACGGCTTATATTTTTTAGGAAGAGGAATAATGTGGGCATCTTTCCAAATGGAAGGAAAGATACTTAAGGATAGGGAATTGTTGAAAATTAAAGTGATTGTAGGAAGGACGATATCAAGGATAAGGTAAACCATAGTACGACCAATGCCATCAGTACCCATAGCATCAGAATTTATTGATAGCAAGCTCTTCTCAACATCACAATTGGTAACTGGACTAAAGAAGAAAGATGGATAATCAGGGGTTGGTGTAGTAGAAAGGAGGTTTATTGTATTAGCTTTAATATTGTTATCAAAAACAACAGAAGAACAGAAATGCCTATTAAGGTTGTCAATATCGACATTGAAGAAAGTGGATTCAGAATTTTTATTCATACCAACCCCTAGAGATTTGAGAAATTTCCAGACTTTAGCCGGATCACCATTCTCGACAGATTTATGAATGTGGCGACGTTGTGCCTCTTTACACACCTTATTGCAATGATTTCTAGCCTTAATGTACTGGTCTCGATATCTATCGGGATTAATTTTAAATTTTGCTTTTGCCTTATTCTTTTTAGTCTGGATTTCTCTAATTTCTTTCGTTAACCAAGGCGCAGGTAGATGTTTCATTCGAACAGGTCGAACCGGAGCATGACGATCATATAGCTTAGTGACAATTTTGTTGAACATATCCACCTGATCTTCGACAGAAGTAGCATCCTGAACTGCAGTCCAATCCGTATCCACGGCATCTTTACGTAAACGGTCCAAGTCGATGGCACCAAAATTACGCTGCATGAGAATTTTATGTTTACGTTTAGGAGTTCTTATTCTAAAGGATAGGAAAATGAGATCGTGGAAAGAGAAGGCATCAGCAGTATATTGACCATGTCTTGTGACATGATCAGGAGAGGAAACGAGGATAAGGTCTAAAAGTGAAGGTTTACAACTAGGAAAGTAGTGGGTAGCTTGAAGGGGCAGGATTGTAAGATTACAAGCATTGGCTACAGATCGTAGGGAATTAGAGCGGTAATCGTTTTTAAGGAGACACGTGTTAAAGTCACCCATGATTACAGTATGCTCATAGGATGGGATCAAATTTTCTAAGAGGTATTCTAAAGAAGAGAAATAATCAACTGTAGGAGAAGGACTATAGAAAACACCGAGAAGAATTTTGGAGTGGGAAAGAGTGACTTCAGTGAAGAGGTATTCAGCTTCATTGGAAGGGTTACTACTATTAGAGCAGGAAATAAGTTTGAAGGGAATTTCTGTACGCAGGTAAATAGCCACACCACCACCACCCTTACCAGTGCGGTCATTCCGAATAAGAACAAACCCTGGCAACGAGTAACAAGAGGAAGGGAGACAGGGCTTCAGCCAAGACTCAGAGACAAGAACAGCGTGGACGTTACTTACATTAAAGGATGCCAGCATATCTGGGAAATGAGCTGGAATGCTTTGTGCATTAATATGCACGATATTGAAATTTCTTGGTACGTTGGCGAACTCTTTATGTAAAATTTCGTCTAGAGGAATTGGTAAACTGTAAAAACTAGAATTTGCAGAAGAGAAAGTAGAGAGAGAGTGAAAGCTTTCATCTTGCATGTTAGACATAATTATGTGTACAATTAAATACTGATTTATAAATATAATAATATATAACCAAATATAATATAATAATAATAAAAATATATATACTAGAGTATAACAGAGATAGAGCTTCTACCCGCCAGTTGAATGAAATATATGAACACATATAAATTGTAACAAACTGTTACACACAATAAAAGTATATAGCAAATTTCATACAATAGAAAATACAATTATTAATATGGAGAAAAAAAAACAAAAAAATGGTAAAACAACATTAACCAAAAGAAAAATATTAGGTAAAAAATAAGGAATACAGTCGCTCAATAGAACATATAAAAAAAAAAGTAAAAATAATATACTGCAAAATTCACTATCCACACTTACAGTGCAGAGGGAGCCACTGTACTATGATCTATATTGCTAAATGTAAAGAAATGATATGACAAATAACAACTGACTTAAAAACTAAATGTCAAAAATAAGACTCACTGATCTGAGATGATACATGTCAGATCTGTGCTATAAAAATCTTTGAATTGATTGTATTGGTGAAACAAAAGTTTATTTTGAAGGTGGAAAACAAACGATTATATTATTGCGTTACCCAGATTCAGTCATTATTTCTGTAATACTATGGAACTACCTACGTGTTTATCGAGCAGAACTAAATATGAGAGATTATATGCTAACGTAGGTGAAATCAATAGTTAAGATATTCACAGAAAACTATCATACGAAACCAATGGTAAACAAGACAACTTCACTTTCTGACCACTCGTTTAACGCGAGCCGTGACGGCCGTCGTAGCTTTCGTCGCCGCTGAGCTCCCGGCCACCATTGTCAGCGAACTCCCATGCTGCGGTACCACCGGATCAGAGGCAGAGAGGTTTATCAACTTGTTAACATCCGTGATGGTGGTAACTCGGTTCTTCGTACCGTCGTCTCCAGCTACAATCACACAACCGTCCCGCGTCCAACACTTCTTTACTCCAAAATGACGACGAGCAGTCATGAATGCTTCGTGTCTTCCTTTAGTCAGGAACTCAGAGATGGTAATTCCTGAATCTTTGAGTGCAGTCTTAGCAAACCAAACACTATTTCGCAGAGTAAGATCAGGGAATTTCACCAATATAGGACGAGGCTTGGCACCAAAAGAGCGGCCTAGTCGATGACATCGGCTAATATTGGCTTCAGAGAATCCGGGGATTTTCAATTTCTCACCAATCACCTTGACCACATCCTGTGACGTATTGTTTCCACTAGACTCACGAACACCATGTAGCAAGAGAATCTTCCTGCGGCTACGCATCTCAAAGTGATCCATCTGACGACCTATCAGTTCCAACTGTTGCTGAAAGCTGCAGAAGGTGCTGGTGACAAACGACTGGAAAACCGCAAAGTCCGCTGCTAATGTGGCCACAGTGTATGGTGATACAGTGCTTGGTGTGGTGTTTACCTTTTGTAAATCATTTTGAAATGCAGTCATCTTTCCATTTAGTTCTTCCATCATTGAAAAAAAATTACTTTGTAATGCGTCCATTGTGTACTATTGAAAGGAGAGGTTGATACTGGTACAGGTAGAAACACTCTATCTCTTGAAGTTTAGCATAAATAAAATTAGAAATATATGAATATACTAATTATTTTAAATAATATAAATCAGAGCACTTTTAAGGTGTGTTAACAGTTGTTTCAATTTAGTTACCTATTACGTACCCAAGTTCTCTATAAATCTTAAAACTTTGATAGATAATCACTATCACAGGGTTTAAGTTTTTATACTAATATGAATTGTACTTTTAGTATCATTTTTAATATCCTTAAGGAAGTATAAATCTATATAATAATGAATATCTAAGAAAATTTGTTAGAATAATCTTAGGATGATTAAACATTTGAACAATCATCAATTTTCATGTATACAATACTATTCTTTGTAATTATTAAATATAATTTTAAATAATTAAATAAATTTAGTAAGTTGCTAAAAAGCTGAAACGAAAAGCTCTTTATTTTTTAAAACCAATTTCAAAAAACTCGATTTAATATTTGTCTTGATTTTTAAATCTTTAAAAATCTTTGTAGCTGTACTATTTTTCTCTCATAAATCTTAATTTCGTCGGACTAACGAAGATTTATGTGAAAAGATAGTTTCCCTCTGTACCTAAACATAAAAACTAGGTTGCTATTTTCTTAACTTACTAATAGACTTCCAAATAAAATGTAATCAACACTTTATTCTATGGCGTGACGGACGCAGACAAAGCAAAATAAACTATGTCACCGTTTATTCACACTTAGAAAATCAGACAAAGTAATTAGGGTCGCAACATGCAATTGTGTATTCTACAACTACGTATATGTATATTCTACAACTACGGCAATTAGCAATAAACGCATGGTCGCTGTCTTTACATGATCGATACATAATTTTTGTCTGAGTATATGTGCGCTCTAATCTTAACCTCTTGGATTACGGGCAAGACTTTAAACACCTATATATGTACAAGTATATTCTAAAATTTATTATTGCGCATGGTCGCTGTCTTTATATGAATGATGTAGATTTTTTTCTGTGCATTATGTGCGCGCTAATCTTAACGTCTTGGGTTACGTTTTTCAATAATATACTTATTGTATGTGTAATACATATACTCTTAATATTTAGTCTTCACTATACAAAAAATTGTATTTTGGTATATAATTTTTTGTATTAGTCTCGGTGTTACCCATGTATCATATTAGGTATGTTTTAAAAATTTATCTAAGTGTTATATCAGTTGTTTAGTCCCCATAACACAAACTCTGCTTAGCTCGGGACAATATATAGCTGGGTGAATTGTCCTGGATTCTTATTATATTATTATTACTTCCAATTGGTTTACAAAAAAATTGAATGCTAGTACAAGTCTTGGATTAAGCTAGTTTTACATACAATTCTATGATATATTGAAAATAACATATATCCCAGCAATAAATTTGTGTTACAATAAAATTAATATGAGGTGTTATGAAATACAAAGAAGTATTATTAAAATATTTAAAAACTCTTTTATTTATAAATATTTTCCCGGAGTCATAAATTAAACAGTAACTTGTTAGCACCTAATGAAATTAACTGTCGGACTATCTGTCTCCTACAATAATTTTGCATCAAATAAATGAAATAGGCCGTAATGTGTCAAGCTTCTAAAAGGCTTATAAATGTCAGAGTAAATTAGGCAAGTAGTCTACCAGACGAGCAATTTTAATTTGTAGGTGGGTTGTTCAAATTAATTACTTGGCGACTAATATAAAAGGGCGACATTAATTGTATTGAGGTAGTAACTAACTTTTCAACTAATACTCACGATTAAATCGCAGAGAGATTAATTAAAAATATTTATTGAGTAATCCACAGAAAAGGTTTTTAAAAACTAGAGTGAATATGTTTAGAGTAGTCAAAATATGAGTCACAAAACAGAGATATTTGTGATATTAATATTTATAGTATTTATGAGGAACTTGATATTGTCTATGGTAATTTGTTGAAATAAGCTGGTTTTGTCTACATTAATATTATATCTAGCAGCTAAAAATATCTCTATATAGTGTGAGATAAACTAGCTGTTTCCGTCTGCCAATTTCTCGGCTTCTTCTAAAACAGTCATGACAACAGATTTTAAAACTTTCAATAATTTCATCCGGAAGGTTTAGTCATATGTATAATACACGCACATAGGGAATCTCCGTCACTCGTACTGCGTATTTGCAAGTCGGACTATGAGTTAAATATAATAACTAACTCAATATAATACTGTATTCAACTCTGTATTTAGCTCAATAAACATCAAAGTTAAAACTCACAGTAATTTACCAATTAGTTATTTTTAAGATAATGTAATTAAGTATTAAACGTGCGACTTCACATTCATGTTTACTTTGCTGTTTATCTTTTACTTATTAAGATAAAAAAGTGACTAAGAAATTTATTGAAAAGTCACTAAGAAATTTCATCAGCTGTAGATTGATACATATTGAATTTCACAAAAATGCTCCTAGAAAAATGTGATCAATGATGAAAAGTGCATCTTATCGTCTGATATTGTATATTTTGCACTACTGCGACAAGTCACAGGTGTGACCACATTATGGATTTAATAAAACGAAGCTTTATAAATTCAGAACATTAAAGTTTTGGCCTTAAAACGGAGTTACCTTCGTTTTACGACTTTCTGAATTATTCCGCAAAATGTTCATTCGGTATATATTTCCACATAAACCGGATATCACACAGTGTGGTTTACACTTTATACTTCTGGTTTCTTCTTTATTTTTAAGTTTATATTATACCTGTAAAAATTGTATATGATACATATACAATTTTAATGATTCAATTGTAATTAGTACTACTACTAGTATAATAATAATTAAAAAAATTAACCCAATATGTCCTCAAATTAACACGTATAATGTCTTACAATGGACTCAATTTGTAATAAAGAGACCATAATTATCCATAAGAATTGTGATTCATGTTATTTTAAATTCAAGTTTTATTTTATGCCACTGCAAATTATGCGGCAGAAAAGATTTTTATTCAATAGACTTTCACATCCAGCTCAGCTAAAACCAACAATTTTCTGCAGGAATGCTTTCTTTCGAGATTTTTTGTTGAGTTAAATAAAAGACCATTGTCGAACCTCGGAAAGAAAGATTTTTAATGATGCACTTTGTCTCACTAACACTACATCTTGACTGAATTATATAAGTTATATTGGTAAAAGAATAATATCTGCTTTTATTGCTTTAATAACACACACACACACACAATAGGTTTTCAGAGCATCGTGGCCTAGTGGTTTACTATCCTGACTTAGAGTTAAAAGGCCGTAAATGCGAATTTTGGTTGACCAAAAAACTTTGTGTGCTCATATATTTCTAAGTAACTCTCTTGTAATAGACAACCAACTCCAATTAGTCCTATACATCATAGACTCAAATAGATCCCCGAAATACCAGTATGTCAAGTGTCGCGTTCACAGCGACGCGATGTTGACAGTAGTTTACAATATTTCTAACTACCTCGTCTAGGATAATAGTCATGAAAGTATATAATACTCGTATATATATCACAGTACACATATACATACTTTGAGCAGTACTACTATAATTACTAATTAATAGATGATCACTGTTATTTCGTGAGCGTTATTTTTTGTTGCCGTCACATATCTTATTTCTTTCTTTGGGGTTCATCAATCTCTCTACTAATGGTCATCCAAATATGCCGAAAATATTTATTATGTGTGTAATCTATAAATGACAATATTATATGAAAAGTAAACATTAACAACGAAATTCTAGATATCTTTAAAAAAAAATGGTATAGCGAACGATTGAAAAAACAACATACTAATTAAACTCTCAATTTATTGTAATGTTTCATTACCGATCACGGTGCTCTAGCGGTTTTGATACCGCTTTACTTCTTATTGTCATTGGTTCGATTCCACGTACAGCACAAATATTTGTAAGTATGAATATGATTGTCTGAGTATTTCCTATGTATACTTATGTATATTTACAAAAAAAATTGTGTATTTATATCAGTTGTCTAGTACACATTATACAAGCCGTACTTAGACTAGATGGTAGTGTGTAAATTGTCCTGAGTTATTATTATTATTAAAATGCCACTAAGATTTTTAGACATGAATTTGAACGCAATATTTTAATAAGATTCCCTGTATACATTTACTTATCTACTATATATAAAGATATTGATACACAGAACAGAGTATTATTTTATTTGACTCCATGTTCTATAGATATGATTTAACTTCAAGTTTATTTTGTAGTCGGTAGCTTATATTGCTTCAGCAGTTGAATTCCTGGTTCTATTTCGAAGTGATCTTTATTTCCTTTACATTATCATAGTGTACTCTACAAAATGATTTGCATGTAATAACTTTATTGCTTTGTCGTAGGAAATGAAAATAGCGCTTCCTATATAAATCATACGGGTATATTTTAGTCGATAAACTTACAATTTTCTGTATAACAACTTTATTATTTGTTTATCTATTTATTCAGATATTTAATATATTTTTTTGTGTAGGTATATTACTCTTTGTAATAGATAATCAATTTATTCAGTCCAGTAGAATTTAGAAGTATGTATATATGTACAGTAAAATAATTACCTATTTTATGTCCTAGGTTTGTTTAAATATTCATTACTAATAGACTTACATAATCTTTATCCTCTGCTTGTATGACTGAATATGAAATGAATTCCTTTTTGTAAAATTCAATATAATACAAAATAAATTATAAATATCTTTCTTGTTTCAAACAATAATTTGATATTTGTTTTAAGAGTTAATATATATAAATCTTCTTTTTTGTATTTATAACAAAATTAATATATACCTAAGTTTGCAGTAAATTATATGTAAGCCAAAATTACTGGTAAATTAGTTCCTTTGCATTTATATTTTCATAATAAGCGTATTTTAATAACAGTGTAAATGAAAATGGCCCTCTTCAGAACGTTTC